TACATATATAGCATATATATTTGTTTAAAAATTATAGATCTATCCTGTTTTATTAAATATGCTTCTTCTTTTATCTTTGAATTTTTTTCAAATGAATTAATTGATTTTCTTGTTTATAATATTATAAAAGTATGTAATATGTTCTACTGCCTTTTTTTTTACTATTTTTCTCGATTTTCTTCTATATTTGTTGGAAAAAAATTGGTGCTACATCTTTTATACTCATTTAGTAGATTTCGCTATAAACGCTTTACGTCTACATTAAAGACAAACCTTAAATTCATATTCTGTATCATTGATTTTTGAAAATTACTTAAGTATAGTTCACTTAAACTCGAATTGTATCCAAGACTCGTGTAATGGAAACATGGGAATAATAAAAATTTACCTTTGTCAACTGCATCAGACCCATCCAGTGTCTTTCTGTAATAGCAGGATTTTGCAGTTCAGTGATTGCGCGCAATGAAGCAACTAAATCCTTGAGCACGCCCACAATATACGTGTATGGCTCCCAATCTCGGATGCTCTTGTCAAGTGTACGTAAATCGCGTGTAAATTTTTTACACTCAGCATCGACTTCATCAGTGTCGATGGCTTGCCAAGGTGTTGCATGCCAGTCAATAATGCAGGATTCAATGACGCATACAAAATCCCACAATTGCTGCACAGTTGTGCGAGAAAAAAATCAGAAAAAAATAAAAATAAGAAATCGTTATATTAAAAAAGTCAAAATCATAAATGTAAGTTATGAGTAAAAAATAAAAAAAAAATAAATAAAATTGCCTTGCCAGCACCTTAACGCGTTTCAGCTCAGCTGCGCACAACTGCAAAGGGGTTTCATCCGGTAAATTAATGTCAAGCAGCTTAGCGCAGCGTATATACCGCCGGTTGATTGCGGCAAAGTGAAATAACTGCTGTGAGGTTCTGTCACAAAGTGCATAAATAGCACCGCAGGGAACGCGGAAAAACTGCAAAGTAGTTAGTTAATTAAAGTTGCTCATTTGGCTGTTAAAGCCGCTCTCAGGCAGGCGCTTACCGGTAAACGTTGGAACTTTTTCGCATATACTTGCACTTGGCAATTAAAGATTAAAATCATTGCTGCAACGCGGGTTTGCTGGTAAGTACGCGCCTGCTGTAAAGCCTCAAATTTGGCAGTTGCATCCTCTTTGAGTTGCTTCCATTTCATGGGTAGAAGCTCTATGCTCTTTACTAGTTCCATACCAAACTCAACATTGTAGGTTTTGAGTAGTGATATGATGTCCTTCAGTGGCTTGAATATATTGTCAGCATAAGCGCTGCGCTGTTTAATCTGAGCCATTATGTCTAGTATGCGTAGCAGTAATGCGAAATCTTCAGGTGTGATTTCCAGTTGCAGAATATTCTCGCCATGTTTGATAAAGGTTGTAAGCTCCTGTTTAATTTTTAGAAATAATCAAAATCAAAAATATTCTCTTATATTAATTTAAATTTATTTGTTTTAAATGGATTATTTCTACCTCTAGTGTTTGTTGCACGTATACCAAAAGCCGCTGCTTAAACAAATGCGACCATTTGCAGGCGTGATTAAGCAAGGCATACTTAAGCGGATTTATATCGATTGCCAACCAAGCATCCACACAGTGACAGCTTAACTGGTCAATTTCTTCATGTAGGTCATTATAACGTTCAATCTGAAATATAATCAAGGATTTTTTATATTTGGAAACTATAAAATAAAACATATATTTAGTGTTTGAAAACAAACAAAAATTAATTTTTTGATGAAAATAATATTGTTTGTTGATTGGTGGTATTCACCTCAATTCATTAAACAGCTTAAAATCTATAAATAATTAAATTTATAGCAAAATAAACACAAATATTAACAACACACAAATAACATTATTAAAATGTATGTTCGCCTCGTGTATTAATACGCGAGTTCATGGTTCAAAATTGACTAAACCTGTCATACTTGTAGTTCAAAAATTATACACAGACAATTAAACCAATAGATGCACCACCACTGACAATAGATATTTTGTGGTATTCGAAATAGTTAATTTATCAAAAATTAAATGATTAAAGATTTCTTCACTATTGCTCCTTTATCTACGTTTTCCATCAATTATGAAGTCATGTGCAAACTTAGAACTTCAACTAGTACCGAAGGGATCATTTCAAAGGGGTGTTGATAATTATGGACAGGACAATGAAATCAATAGATACTTCCAAAGACCAATGATGATATATATCTTTATCTGACCAAAACTTTTATGATCTACTAAATTAATCAATAGATCTATCATCTAATCTTTGAATTCGAAGATTTTTTTCGCTATTTTCCTCTTTTCTATGGTTCCCACCAATGAAAATGTTATATCTCAGTGTCAAGCTTTCACATCAGGTAAATATGTAAAACTAATGTTAAATATCTATTCTCATCTACCCTCTCTTCTGTTGAAAAATAGATTTGACGGAAAATATAGTTTTTAAATAGATATGATAATAAAATATTAATTTGTTAAAAGTAGCTTTAAAGACTAATAGTAGATAATAGAATAATATAAAGTGAAATTTTTTAAGATTTATTGAATTTTTAAATTTTCTTTCTAAATTTTGCATTCTTCTTAATCCTAAGACAGTTATAATATATGGATCATATCCTTTATATTATGTGTAAATTAATTAATATAAAATCTTTTTCAATGATTTTCTTATTTTAACTATGGTATACAAGTCGGTACCACAGTACCACGTGTGCTCTCATCAAATGTAACAGCATCCAACCTCAACACTGTAAAGCCAATAAAGCCAATGATTTCAGCAGAGTTTTGGTCAAAGTATGCAGCTGAGCTACTTCAAGTCAATTTATCTAATATTTATATAACTGGATTCATATTTGGCTAGTGTTCCTTTTTTCTTGTTTTGTAAGAACTTA